TTTAAAATACCAAAAATATCCTTGCATTAAGATTTTAATTTAAAATTACCAAATTTATAAACTTCCTACTTTATCTATTGATTTGTGGTTAATATTGGTTCTCACAGTTACCACAAACAACTCAGTTCTCTCTTGAATAGGCCCATATATATATATATATATATGCATGATATGCACATATGCATAAAAACCAAGAAACAACTTCCGTTACTTTCATGAATATGTGCATACCAACCGTATGAATGGTTATCAGGGTATTCCTCGGTTTTTCATTTTTTAGAGGCTTTTCTCTTGGACTTCCCTCCCTCCCTCTCTCTATGTAATTTGTTGTGTTTTTTTTATGATCGGCTCTTTACATTCTTTTCTAACTCTTGTTGCTTATTATACTAACCGTTATATTTTTTACCTGTTGCACACTCCTTTGCATCGTGCACAAGTTGTGTGCTTTCACAATAAACAACCTCTTGATCCTAATGGTCAACTTAAAGTTTACGTACATCCTATCTTTTTTTAGATCGTATTTTTGAGTGAGATCTACTAAGTTTGTTTGGTTATTTAACACCCCTATTACACTACATAAGCCCCCTTATATTATTTTATCTCATTTTACATCGTTATCTGTCTCATAAGCTAGTTTTTTACAAAATGCGAAGAGTTTATTAGCCAAAAACTAACTTAGGGGGTGTTTGTGATTGCTTATTTGAAACAACCTATGTTTTTTCTACAAAAGTCCTTATCAACTTTTTATAAGTTAGAATAATTTAACTTCTTCAAAAACTCCTTATTACGGTTTGGCATCGGTATAAGTTGTTTATCCAAACACTCCAAAATGTTTATTACCAGTGTCACATCAAAATAAATCAATAATTGTTTTATAAGCAATCCAAAACACTCCCTTATTAACCAACAACTAAATTATTAAACAACAACTAACTTATCAACTAATTTGCTAAACATAACCTCTCGAATATCCTCCATTTTCATGAGTTTTTATTTGTTGTGAAGAAAACATAAAAATAAATGAATTTTTTTGAAAAAGTAAATTAGAATTAAAAACTTAAAAGGTTTGTATTTTTAAAGTAATTTTTTATTGAAAATATAAACTAATAATTTTAGAAAGGAAAAGTGTCCACATGCATAATTACAAATTTGATGCATTGTTGGGTAGTCTCTCTTCCCTCATGTCATGGCCCCCCGTATTCTTCTTCTTTATTTGTTGGTCCTTTTCCTTTTCCTTTTCTTTTAATTAACCAATAAGACTATAACACTTTTACAATAATTTAATGAAAATAATAAATAATAAAAGAACCCATAATTTTTCTATTTATATGTACCAAAGAGGCATATTAGTTTTCTAGTAGGTATCAATGGCTACATACCATAAATATACCTCTTAGCATAGAAGAAGAGCAAGTCAACATGGAGAATGCATCTCAAGACAATCACTTCTCATCTTCCACCACCACTTCTTCATCTTCAACCACCACGACCACCACTGGTTGCTCTTCTGTGTCGTCTATCTTCACCTCTGATGCATCGACTGTCCAGATCATAACATGTGGTGAAATAGACAACAAGTCTCAAAAAGGCTTGAAAAGAGTTCAAAAGGGAAATGATGGCAACGAACGAAAGAAACAGAGTAGAAACGATGCTGGTGGTGGTGCTAGTGAGCATCTGACGTATCGTGGTGTGCGAATGAGGAGTTGGGGAAAATGGGTGTCAGAAATCCGTGAGCCACGTAAGAAATCAAGAATATGGCTCGGGACATTCCCAACGGCTGAGATGGCGGCTCGAGCTCATGATGTAGCGGCTATAGCCATAAAAGGTCACTCGGCTTACCTCAACTTTCCTAAATTGGCACATCTACTTCCACGACCAACCACTATATCACCAAAGGACATCCGGGAAGCGGCCAACAAGGCTGCTACCACCTGTGGTGGCCATGAACCAGAGCCACCAAGCCAACCCACGCTTTCTCATTCTCACTCGTCAACAACTCTATCATCAAATAACACTCAAAAATCAATCACCTCGACATCAATCGAATACGATGATACATTTTTCGACCTACCTGATCTTTCTGTCAACAACACTGATCGAAATGATACTTTCCATTTCTATCCTCCATCATGGCAGTTGGAGGTTGAAGCAGATAAAGGCTTTAGGATTGAAGTTGAAGAGCCGTTTCATTGGCATATTAGCCATTGAAAAGATATCCTCATTTGAAATTACCCACTAACCCTTCAAAATTACTATATATAAAAAGCACATCCTTGTAAATTCAACCACCCAAAATTTTGTATTGATGTACGTAGGAGACTGTAAGTTCAGATATCTTAAATTTTTTTATACCAAATATGTTATGTTCTGGGTGAAAAAGAGTATTTATTTAATCTTGTATTAGTGTGTAAAATAAGTTTTAAGAAATTGTACTCCGTATTTCTAAAGATTATATTGTGTATGATTTACAAAAACTGTGTTTTATATATTTTTCTTTTTGGTGGCCTCATAAAGTTATAGCATTTCATTTCATAAAGTTCTCATGGTACAGTTACCCATTTGGGGCATTATAATCATTACAAATAAATTAATTTTGATCGTTAAGATTATTTTACTTTAGCTTTTTGTAATAATATTTTAAATATTTCATAAGTAAAAGAAAATTCACGTAACTATGTGAAGAGTCAAACGAGCAAATTTTATGGAAATGAGAGAGTATTTATTTGTCCAGTTAACCTCATGTCTCCATCATATTTCTCTTAGTGATCTTTTCGATCTTATTAGCCTGGTTCCAGCAATAACCATATTAAAATATGTATTTAATAAAATACGATTCAAATAAAAAACCCTAAATCTGAACTTTTTTTCAATTCGTTTTAGTTGTGCTCTGGACCAAAAGGGGTCATATAGCGCAACGAAACTAGAAAATCAATTGAAGACGAATGGATGATATATATCACATGGCTACATACACCTTTAACTTGAACATCGTCTTTATTACTTCATCTGTTTCAAAAGAAAGTATCTTTATATTTTAACTGAGACAATAGTTAAAAATATGTTTATGTAGTAATCAATCTGGGACGGACATATTAGGAGCTGAGCGCCATCTCGTGCATCTGCTCACTCGCTAATTGCAAAAAAAGAAAAAAGTTAGGTGTCTAAAAGGTGCACCCGTAGATTCTAAAAGTTGGCTTTAAATACTTCGAAACCAAATTTGTAACATATCTTAAACATAGGTGGGATGCTTGAATTACCATGCTATGTGTAAGAGATCATGGGTATGAATACTATTTCAAGTAAAAGTTTGATTATAGGTATTACTATCACTATTCAATGCATTTTTTGTCAATTTTTTCATTTTCATTTTCATTTTATTTTTATTTATAATTTATTATCTTCCTAATGTCAATTCATCTTAAAAATCCGTCCCTTTTTATCTCATTTTCAAGGAAACATATATTTAATTTTAAGAGCGAGGTCGGTTTCATTTGAAAAATGTATTTTATTTCCTATATCAACATAATTGATTTTTCCCCAGGTAAAAACCACGATTTTGTGGATCTTTGATTCACCTTAAAGGTGCACTCATTCAAAGACATTTATGGGTTCTCGTCACTATGATCAATCCCACAAATATCATGTAGAAAATGAAAAGAGAAGAACCAAACCCGTTTATCCGTTATTTAGCTTCCTCACTCACTTGCTACTGCCATCTTACACTGCTAACTTCAATACGATATTTATTATGGTACTTCTTTTGTTTCAAATGAATGTAAAACTGTATTTTACTAAGTCAAGATTTAAAAACAAAACATGTGTATCATAATAGATCTCACAAATACATTGTAGTAGTTGATAATAAAATTATTTATATGAAAAAGTATACATTTTTCAAATGATTTAATAAAAACTTATAATTTAAAATACACTTGTTAATTAAGTTAAAAGACATCAAGAATCATATGCATTGTACCAAAATCAGGATGACGTAAGAAAATATTTGTTTGAGTATTTGTATAATTAAATAAATTAATTATTATAGAAAAATAAAAATATATATTAATATCTAATTTTAATTTTGGTTTTGGTTTTATATAAATTAATAATTTGATTATGACCATTCCTAATAGTGACACATGAGGAGACATGTGAGGAGTGTCCAAGAAGGAGACAACATTTCAATTGCTTAAACAAATACCAAAATGGACAAATGCAACTCCAATCATTCAAATCAATATCAATTAAATAAATATAAAATACAAAAAAGGAATCATAACATTTTTTATATTTATTTAATTTGGTTATCTTATTCTTAAAAGAAAGTTATGAGAATCACTATATTTTCCAAAATTTGTTATTTTTGGGTAATTTTAATTAAAGCATATGGTAAAAACTATTTGTAATATTAAAGAAACTGTTAAAATAAAAATACATTAATGTCTAATATAATTACCCGGATGAAATAAAATACAAATTACAAATTGTTTAATAAAATTGCAGTACGATTGTTCGATGACAAGACTTCATAGATACAACTACTATGTCAAACTTATTGCAGCGGGGTCGGTGAAAACTGTTAAGATTGTGTAAATCACTTCACCATATCCATCATATTTGTATCCTTTTTCTTTTGGATCTCATCTTCCCTCATCCGGATCTATTGTCGATGGAGAATTTCATCAGGCTCTCCTCTTGAATGCACAATTCTTGAACTTGAGACTGTAAGTCGTTAATTAACTACAAATACAATAAAATGTTAGAATCTTTAATAAGAAGTATAAATGCAATAGATAAATATCAAAGAAAAAAAGGTACACACCCGGCTACTTGCAGAAGACGATGCACCACTTGGGTTTGCTTGTGAGGATGTCCCGGCCAAAATTCAATTGGGATCTTGGTTGCACCAAAATCTAAATAGATGACCTTTCTTGGGTCCCTCAACTACCTTATTCCACAAATCGATATCAACTAGGGAATAGGCCGAGGGATCCTCGTCGTACTTTTTGGTGGGATTGGTTGAATAAGTACTCTTTGGTTTAAAAAAATACTATAAGTCAATTTCGATAGCATAATGACTGTAAATGAGACATTTCCAACTAAAACAATGCTAATCTTCTTTCAACAAATAGTAACTCAAACTAGATACACACACACACACACACCTTTTAACTTAAACAATTCTAAGGTTATAAGCACATTATGGTCTTTTGAGATTACAATAGTTATGTTTGCTAATTCTTTAATTTTATATAAATATGGATCATATCTTGATTAGCTACCACCTTTTTAGTAAATATTTAATTGATTTATCCATTAAATATGTTGATACAAATTACCATCTTTGAAAAATATATAACAATTGTTGATAAAGAATATTTTTATGTTTCATTGTTTATTAAAATATCTCTCTTTTATAGTTTCTAGGTAACTCTAGATCATCATTAACATATTCATCATTAACAATTTCATTTTGTTTCATCATTAACAGCTTATTATGTTTTATCATTAACAATTTATTTTGTGTTATCATTAACATATTCATCATCAACCGTTTCTTTCTGTTTCATTCTATCCAATGGCATTGTTTCATTCTGTTTCATCATTAATAGTTTACGATGGAACATGTTGACGATATTAAATGCGGGAAACGGGATTTCAACAATCGCAACAGTTTACAATTTGTTCATTTTGCCCTTTCTTGTTGAAAATAATAATAATTTATTTTCTTTTATTTTTTTACTTTACTAAGATAACTTGTTTTAATGTTGACCCTTGATCATGAAAATAGATGGATGTAATTGGTTTGTATTTCCCATCATCGGACTCTGAATCTGATGATGAGAACAATAATATCGAAACATCCCGAGATAGTTCATCTTCTTTAGAGGGCTATTGAGGATAGGATGCATGTCCTCCCTTGCCAACTTCCAAATAAGCATCGATGGAGGCGCCTCAAGAACAGAGACTCAACCCATGGCATCTATTGCCAGGGGGTTACCCCCCTTAGCTGAGTACGTTACAAGGGCTGAGTTCCAAGCCTTTGTTGACGCTATTCAGTGGTCCTTGGAAGACCCTAAACTCACAATTTCATGGGTTGCTGAATCCATTCCTAACCACCAAATCACCCAGATTCAACAATCCATTGCCTCTCTGGAAACTCATTCCAGAGACAACACCACCCGCCTCTATCAACTCCAAACTTTGGTGACCCAACACCACAACTCCAACAACAACCTTATGGTCACCAGATTTGAAACCCTCTCCACACAAATTTCAGCCACCTATGCATCTATCACCTCCCTTTCCAAAGCCATTCAAATCCTTATCCCCTCAACCATCCCCACCTCTACCTCTACCAGCACCACCTACAAATTAAGCCTTTACGTCTTTTGCTGCAGAGGTGAGGGAACTTATATCCTTCATCACCACTACCACACCCATTGTTGCCATTGCATCCTCCTTCGCCCTGGTCTTTAAGACGGATCTCTAGATCTTTAAGGAGTCTATGATCTCCAAGTTCAACCAGATCAACGCCAAATTTTGACAAGAAGGCCAATGAGCCTGCTACAATCATATAGTCTAGCCTCTCACAGTAGCAGGCACAGACCAAGGAGCTGCTAAAGAAGATGGATGAGGATAGAAGAAGAATGGCCGTCAAATCTTACTCTTCCTCTCTGAAGAGGAAGAGAAGCCCTATGCCTCATGCTCTATAGAGGGGCGCTCCAAGAGGTCGATACATGATGACCTAGACCCCGATGACCAGGGTCTTAGTCCTCATGAGGGGGAGATACCAAGCAACGCACCACCAACCACCACACCATCATCACTAGCAAAACAACAAGCACCATCCTCCACATCTCAAGTCAACCCAAGTACAGAGGTGAGGGAACCAAAGGCCTTGCCTTCTAAAGATGTACACTATGTAGATACATTGCCCTTTCCTTCTATAATTTTTGTTCCATATACATATGATTCTTCTGCATGCATTGTGATACTCGCTACAAAGGTCGTTCTACTATCTAAATTACCTCTACCACCATCTGATCCCTCATTTAATGAACCAAAGCCACCAACCAATGAAGCCTCACCCATACTTGTAAGCTTCTCATCACCACCAGAATCACAACATCTTTCTACACCAACCACATCCCTTAGTCCAAACACACCAACACCTAGCCCACCCTTATAACTAGAACCTCGACCTCAACTAGAAACCCAACCTTCCTTTACTCCAACACCCAACCCAAATCCAAATCAACCATAAACACAACCTCCCTTTACTCCATCACCCAGCCTAACTCCAACTCAA